TAATGCAACTATTAGCTGAATGTACTATCAATAAAATCCTGGATCACAAGTACTCACCTTAATATTTAAAAAAAAAAGTAATTAAAAAAAATTTAAAATAAAAATTAATTATTTTAAGCAATTAGTATTAGACAATATATATTACTTAAAAAATATATTAGCAAAACTTTAGATATATGATTTTACTGTTTTCTTATATTCTTAGAAGTGAAAAAGTAATCAAAATTGGTATCGACCCAAGGGGTATACAATTCACTAAGATTCTTCTACCTGCATACTATGTAAAAAATATGGTTTTGTTAAGTTAACACCTTCAATATATGAAGTATGCAGAACTCATGCTAGTAAGTATCGTTCTTAGAACCACTATTATTAGAAGAAGCTGAAAAAGATGACACAAAATAGTATTATAAAAAATACATAGTAAGTATATATACAATATCTTAGTATGACCAAATGTCACCAAAATTTTTTAGTACCAGAAAATTTTCAGAGTTGAGATCTCTATCAAATTTTGTATTTTAAACTTTTAGAAACCTTTCTAGATGTTTGTTATTGAAAACTTTAAAAAAGATCGAATTTCTTTAATTTTTTTTCTTTTTTTTTATATATAGATATATTACATATATATATAAATCAAAGATAGGTATATAATATATATATCAGGTATATATCAAAGATATATTATAAGAAAAAGTTTTATTTTTTTTCTAGAATTTTACTTTATTTTCAGTGATTTTGATGATGGTATATAAGAACAAGATAAAAAAGAATTTAAAGTCAAAATTTAATAATAAACCTATCATCAAAGTTGTCACCAAAACTGTCATCAAAGATTTTTCAGTAACTGATAGCATACCTGCTAACATGTATATAGTATAACCCAAATCAGAGAATACTACTCAAATGATAATGTGAACTCAAATTTGTCATCACTCAAATGACGATGCAAGCATGAATCATTCATCACTCGAATAACAACACAAGCTTAATAGAGGTCAAAATGAGTAGCTATAAAACAAGTAAGTAACAATATACCCATAAGTAGGTAACAATATATACTCATAAGTAGGTAACAACCTAATGTAAGTAGGCAGCAATATATATATATTGCTGCCTACTTAATCAGGTCAGGTAAGGTTTTACTTTTTTTTAAAAAAAAATCCATTTTTTTTAATAGTGCTAATTTTTTTTTTAAATATATAAACCGATGTAAATCTTCTTATTTTATTCTGATTAAATTTCACATTATTTTAATTTAAATAGATTCATTTTTCTTTACTGGCTCTAGTTAATTTTTATTTTAAATATATAATTTGGGTCAATTCTTTGCTAACCTTTTTATTCTGTTCAGATCAGGCCCTTCATTATCCTTTTTTTTTTAAATTAATAATTCCATTTTTTTTACTGGCTCTAATCGAATTTTTTTTCAGGTTTTCGAAAAAAGTAAAACGACTTTCTCCAGATTATCATTTAATATCATTCCGGAAAATGCTCATTTTTCGAAACGAAACATATACAAATTTCTGGTCATTTCCATAGAATCCTGGTAATTTTCAGGTACTGTAAAAATCAGATTCGGCTTCTAATATTTTGTATTTCATTCTAATTGGAATCCGAATCTTATCCGGATTTGATTTTTACCCAGAATTTATCAGAGTTTTATGGAAACGACAAGGAATTTATATGTTTTGTTCCGAAAATGAGCATTTTCCGGAACGATATTGGAATGATAATCTGGATAAAGTCGAAATACGTTTTTTAAAAAAATTTTATAGAGAATGCTCTTTGTTCAGATCAGGTTTCGTATTGCGTTTTTTTTTTCTACTTTATCTTAAATTATTATATTCAAATTATTATTTTTAAATATAATCAGGTGATATATTTATTAGCATATTTGTTCTGTTCAGGTCAGTTTTACTTTATTTATTTTTTTTAAATAATTCCGTCTTTACTAACTTTTTTTATAAAACATCGGTAAATTCTGTAACTTGTCGGTGAATTGTACTGTCGGTGAATCGTACCGTCGGCGAAATGAATTTGTTGTTGAACTAAGTATCTATAACATGTCGGTGATCGTACCGTCTGTGAATTCTACTGTCGGCTAATCATACTGTCGGTGAAATAAACTTGTCAGCTAATCATACTGTCGGTGAAATAAACTTGTCGGCGAATCGTACTGTCGGTGAAATAAACTTGTCAGTGAATTGAACGTCGGTGAAGTGATTTTTGGTGAAATGAACAGAAACCAATTATTACTATTACCTTTATGTAACGCAATTAAATTTAATATTTCTAGCTAATGATTCTAATCAACGAATCGGTGTACTATCCTTTTTGATAGCCAATTTGTATAAATCAAAAGAAAAGAACATTAATTGGCACAATTAGTATTGTATTTATAGGCATGGTTTTTTTGTTTGGCTAACCGATCATTTTTTAATGTTACAAAATGTTTTGTATCTATTAGTCAGCCGTGATGTCGTGAAGATTATGTGTGTAATATGTGGTCAAATAATCGACGCACCTAAATTTTATATACTGTTGGCTATGAAATTTTGAAGGCTATAAAAACGGTGTTTCACAATTGGTGCTTAAGCTGATGTTAATATATCGATATGTAATTAGTATGATAAACACACTTTAGCCAAAATTAAAAGGATTAACTTTTGTGTTATTCCAAAGATTTGTATCTCCGACACTTTTATGGTATTTCGTGAAAAAATTGATTTTTTTAATTATCTTGCTCACATGAAATTCGACCATTATTTTTATTAACCATTGCTCTTTAAAAGTTGAAGAATACATAAGATTGCTATTGTACTACATACCAGCATTGTCAGAATCGCTTTTAATGTATGTTGGAACACTTGATCCCGAACTTTATATGAAAGTTAAGTGTTCAAAAACCCATTTTGCAAAAATTTTACAAGGCTTTAATTATAAAATTTTCGATGATACTTTAAGTTAAACTTTTTTATTATAAAATAATATAAAAAACTCATGTAACACTATTTTGTCAATATAAAATAATTATCCAATCAAACCGAATTTCCATCATGTACTATACCAACTATAAATTAATAATAATTATTTACTTTCAAATTTTAAATAAACAACTAATATATTAATAGATAGATAAAACAAACAGTTTTTACAATTTAACTTTATTAAATGGTACTTATTATATTTAAGCAACAAAAAAGAAGCTGTTTATAATATATCAGATTAATTATCCTATGTTTAATATGGGTTTTGCATTCTACATTTATAGTTTGTATATTCAATTACATGTTAAGTTTATAGAAGCCCATTGCATAAACCTTGGATACTTCTTAAATTACTTTTAAGAGCCCGGTTTTTGACTTCGAGAATCTGGTTTTTAACTTCAAGTGTTTGGTTTTTGAGGTTTAATTGCGAATTTCATTTTCAAGTTCTTGAACTTTGCGCTTTAGTTCAATAATATAATCGTAGTTCTTAATATTTATTATATAATAAAAGATTAGTTAAGAAGTTTTATTGATTCAACTAAAAAAAATTATTCATCGCCATGTATATATGTATATGAGAATGGACTAGAAAAACCACCATTTGAAACTTGCTTTTATAGTCCATTCCCCATATATGTTTGGTCAAAATTTAAATTATTATACTCAAAATCCGGTCAAGTGATCGACAATTTTGTCCAAAATCATGATTATACTGTGCAGGCCTGCCAACATGAGCGATAAATAATGAATCTAAGTAAAAATACCTTCTTATTTTCTTTTTTAATAGATTTCAATACTATTTTTGCAATTTTAAACAACTATAAAGATTAAAACAGACTTGTTAGATACGTATATATTAAAAAATAATAATAAGAATAAAATAAAAATAAATAAAAAATAAAAGTAAAAATAAAAATAAAAATAAAAAGCCAGTTTAAAAAATAAATCACAAACTTCTGAACGTGCTTCTTTATTTGTATGACTTGACCTCTAAAAACCAATATATTAGTAGTTAAATTATATACATCTTATATCGACTATATTCATTGCTAGCAAAAATAAAGAATCTAACTTCGTTTGCAACAGTGACTGTGGATATGCTAGAAGTGGTAATTGAGGGATCAGCGGTTGTTGAAGTGTCGGTGTTTGTTGTGGTGCTGATGGTGATTGAAGTGCCAGTAATAACTTTGATTTCTGCATTAGACGTTAGATATAGTATCGTCCTAGTATATAGTAAAAAATTAAAATACTGTAATAGTATAAGTCAACTGGCTGATAATGGGGCGCTCTATTGAATCTATTTTTAATATTACTATCAAAAATAGAACCAATCATTAACAATCCAAAAGTCGAAATAATAGTAATATTTCATTAGTAGCAAACAAGTTTTTCTCCTTCAAAAAACTTCTTTAGGATAACTTAATGTTGCCTTGAAATCAAACATTACTTGACCAAGCGTGTTCATTTGCACTAATGCCAATGCACCCAACAAAAAGAAACCCGAATCTTCAAGTTAGCTTAATGTCGCCTTGAAATCAATTATTAATTGGCCAAGTGTGTACATTTGCACTAATGCCAATGCACCCAACAAAAAGAAACCCGAATCTTCAAGTTAACTTAATGTCGT